TCTGTCAGTCTTAAGGAACATATCTGGGAAATTGTTAAGACATAGAACATTTTATCTACCTATATTAGTAGGAAAGCAATGTAATTAATGATTTTGTCTCTGCAGAAGGACTGCCACGCTTAAAAATTAAAATAACTCCCCAGATTTCATCAGTAACCTTTGAGAAAATTTTCAGGAGTTGCTCAAAAACCAGTCGAATCAAAAAGAGAAAGAAGGCAAGAAATGTTTGATTTTTAGGTTTTTTGCAACAATAAAACAATACATTGGGAGTGCATTTTATTTAAAACCAGGGGTAAACTGTTCTCTTAATCATTGAGTTAATTATAAATGAAAATTAAAAAAATATTTTTATGGCTATGGTAAAATTATGGAGATAGCACAACCCAAGAAACTGGTACTTTAAAAATATATATATCCATCCTGAAAACTTAAACCCAGGAGTTGGAGATACACAGGACAAGTGTCCTCCTGTGAATAGATTATATGTGGTATTAATGACCATATACAGTGGACCCTTGACTTATAGACGGCTCGACTTACAGACTTTTCGAGTTACAGACTTCTCTGGCTGCAAAATTTAGGTTCGACTTGCAGCTGGAGAATCGACCTACAGACCAGAGGAAAAAAACAAAAACAAAATGGAACAAAAACTGAACAAAAACGGCCGGTTACGGGATTAATTGGTTTTCAATGCATTGTAGGTCAGTGGAGACTCGACCTACAGACTTTTCGACCTGCAGCCACCGTTTCAATACGGATTAATTCCGTAAGTAGAGGGTCCACTGTATGTGGAACACTGCACTTGCAACCCCAGCTTCTGACCTGAGGTCTGCAAGCTCAAAAAAATCCATCTGTAGCATTAATTCAGCATTGTTTGTATCTTCTGAATACAACAAAATATATTGACTTATCAATTTAGCTTTTGTTTAACCAATCTGTTAGGGTTTTCAGCTCAGCAAAGTTTATGTAGCATCCATTTCTTCAAATTCCTCTTCTTATAAAACTAGTGTTTTATTGTTCTGTACTCAATTAGTATGCATTAGTTTGACTAGGTAGTTTTTTACTGAAGTCTGTTTAATTTGGTTTCTTTTATTTTACAGAAAACCAAGTGATCATGAAATTTGTATAAGCTTTCTGAAGATATTACATTCAAGGCCTTTGATATACTTCAACAGTTCTTTACACGTTCTAACTTTTGTAAAGTCTATACAAAATCTTCTCAAAATTTCTCCTCAGGAAAATTTAAAAATATGAACAGATGCAATTGTAACAGTTCTTACAAGCTTTATTTATTGAACTAAAGTTATGCAACTCTGCCAAAAAAATAAACATGCTGCATTGCCATTTAATACTTGTAGTGGCTTTCTTCTATACTTTTTAAGTTGTATGGTCTATCTGTTACATGTTTTATTAGTTTGTTTATTGCAAAATTGATATAACCTCATGAGTTTTAATGTTCGTTTTGCAAGCAAAGTAACAGAATCTGTGTTTCTTCAGAAGTGGATTTTTTAGGGTTGCTCTCATTCCTTCTGAAGATAGTGCACTATTGACATGTATTACTGTCTATAAAGAAGACATTTACAAGGGAGACTCTTAATTTCCAATCGGTTACATGTAAATAGGAAAGGGAACATTAACTATGTGTTCTTTCCTCTCAGGGGAAGAAAAATGCAAGTATCAAATGCTGGGTATGCTTGTGTTAGGAAAGAAAGGGAAGAAAAGTGAATGCCCAAGTGGTTTTGCTATTTTCCCTATTGCTAAATGTGCAGCAAGTCTCTTGAACTGTTACTACAAGGCAGTCATGTCAGAAAAGTAATTCTGTGTAGGAACCATAGACTGTTTATTTTTTTAGGAAACTTGGGCATTGATTATGTAAGTTAACAGGAACACTAAAGGCACATCTTGGAGACATGATACAGAAGTGTCTGTGACTTTGGGAGGAGAGTTATCTTATATAAAACTTGTTAAGTCTTTAACAGTGCAGTTCAAATCAAAGATGCACCGGTTGATAGTGGGTTTGTAATGGGCAAATTCTCCTTTCCACGATATAACTAACCTTGGGCCAGCCCCACACTTGCAGGTTGATTTCATATCTGATAGTACAACTGCTGTGCTGGCTGAGATTAGCCAAGGAGGAAAAAACAGAATACAGTACAGCAAGAAGGTGGAAGAGGGGAGGAGAAGGGCAGGGGCTTCAGCACAGACTCGTCTGGCCTAATGTCCACTTCATCATCCCTCAGCTATCCTATCTACTCTAGACTTCGCCCTGAGACTCTATGTGGACTACCTCAGAGGGTTTGCAAGATCTACTTATTTTTCTAAAAACTTGGTATCTACCCGCTGAAGTGAGATGGAAAACAGCAGTGAGCAGTGCCAGAACCAATTATTTACTGAACACAGACCTTCCATCTGTAGGATCTACAGTATACCACTGCCAATCTATATCAAGCCCTTACATATCAGAGATTATAACTTAAGTGCAATGCAGACCTGAACTGCAGCCCCGGTCCGTGAAGCCCCTTGCAGCTCTACTGCAGGCCTTTAACACCCGTCGAGCTACCATTTGAAACAGAAGGTTCCTTTGCCCGCCCCCACCGGCGGGCTTCGCTCCTCCACGGAGACAGTCCCCTGGAAGTAGGCCTCGGCTTCCTCGCTCCATGCCTCGGCCTGCCGCTGGGGGGAGCCGGCGTTCCACTTCGTCGCCGCCCGCGGGTTGGGGAAGGAGGGAGCCAGGCGGAGCGGTAGGCCCGCGGTCGCCTCCTCCTCCTCCTCCCGCCCCCAGCCATGGCCGACGTGGAGGACGGAGAGGAGGCGGGCGTCTCCGCGTCTCCCGCGGGCTCCTCCGGCTCGAAGACGGGCGGCGTCGACAAGATGTTCTCGCTGAAGAAGTGGAACGCCGTGGCCATGTGGAGCTGGGACGTCGAGTGCGACACCTGCGCCATCTGCCGGGTGCAGGTCATGGGTAAGCGGGAGCCGCGACGCGCGGTCGGGCCGGGAACAAAGGCCGCGGCCGGCCGGCCGGCCTTCCCGCTCCCTCCCCTTCTTCGCCCGGGGCGGGGTTGGGCCGCACGAAAATGGGCCGCCTCGCCTCTCTTCCGGGCATCATCATCCCTCGAGTGTCTCTGTCATCGCCGCCGTTGCCTGGCCACGGATTTTTCGGAGGCGGGGGTGCTTTTCTCCACCTTCCGGGGGAGGAGAACGTGCCCTTGGCCCGCTTCTCGGGGGCCTTAAAAGGAGCTGTTTTTTCACCAGCTGGATACTGGTGTCGTGGTTTTTTTTTAAAAAAGCCCTGTAGCCGGCGCTACCTTTATTAGACCGTTGAAATTCACCTTCATTAGACCAGTGAAATGATTAGGTAGCGCCCGCCTTTGTTTTCGGGTGGCAGGTTCAACCCTTTCCCCACTGACACCCTGATTTTATTTCCCTTCACAAAATCGAGGGTGGTCGGGAATGTGGAAAGTTGCCTTTTATTGAATTAGCCTCTTAGTGTTCACTGAGTGATAGTGATTTCCTAGGATTTCAAGCAGAAATGCTTCTTAACCCTACCCAAAGATGTCACGGTTTTAACTGGGGACCTTCTGCCTGAAAAACAGATACTTTGATGTATGTTTCTTGTCCTCTGTCGTCCTCTTCTCTTACGTTTATATTTTTAAAATTGTTTTTATCTCGCCTTTCTTCTTAAAAAAGGACCAAAGGCAGCTTACAACAATTAAAAGACAGTTAAAAGACGTCTACCCGCTGAAATGAGATGGAAAACAGCAGTGAGCAGTGCCAGAACCAATTATTTACTGAACACAGACCTTCCATCTGTAGGATCTACAGTATACCACTGCCAATCTATATCAAGCCCTTACATATCAGAGATTATAACTTAAGTGCAATGCAGACCTGAACTGCAGCTCTGGTGACAGACAAACAGACGCATGTACACACACACACACACACAGATCCAGTGCATTGGTACCAGCAGTCGTTTCCTATTGAATCAGTGTATCTACTCTATTTGGGACAATTGAAATTAGGGCATTTGTGACATACAGTATTTCACATCTACTAGTCATAACCCTAGAACTCAAAATTGCTTTGTAATTTCTTTTAAGGCAGTGGTTCTCTGCCTCCAGATTTCTTTTACTCCAACAGTGAGAGTCCCTGGCTGTTAGTCATGTTTGTTATGATTTCCAGGTAGTGGAAACACAAGCATCAAGAGGGCAAGGCTGAGAAATACTACTTTAAGGTCAATTTAGACAGTCAAATTGCTTCCTTGTGAGATGTGATTTGTGTAGCAAAGATACATGTATTTCTTCCAGTACTCTGTCATTCCTGGAACAGTGCTAGCACAATTGCAGGAATTCCTCCACTGTGAGTTAATTGACTGCTGGAGCATTACGTGTTCCTATAGACAGAGTTATTATCTACAATCCTTCTGGAGACACAGGAAAAAAAAACAGCTGCTTCTTATCTGTATGAATCTTAAAGCTTTTGTCCTGCATTGTGCATGACTGATTATTTCCTTAGTCACAAATCCTCTGTGCTGCCACTGTGCCTAATATAATGTAGGAACTGCTGTTTCCTCAGTTGTAATGTATCAAGTCAGGTTTGACTGCATTATAATCATCATCTCTTGACATATCCTGCTAGGATGCCCCCCCTTCATTATAAGACTTACACTGAAAGAACCAAGCGGTTGTAGTATAAATGTGCCTGAATAAGTGGAGAATTGTGTATTGGGATAAATTAGGATAAAGGTTCTGAATGACTAACTGACTATATATGTTCTGCAAATGTTTTTCTGTGATTGTAGGTATGTTGAAAAGTCAGTTATTAGCACTTCATCCAGATAATCATATTTAGTTTTGATCTTCTTTACATCTAGATGCCTGTCTTAGATGTCAAGCTGAAAACAAACAAGAAGATTGTGTTGGTATGTTTTGATTTCATTCTCTTGTTATTCACTAAATGCTTTCTCTTAGTAGGGAGCTTTTAAAAGATTCAGATGAATATCTCTTACATTCATGTATCACTTATTTTCATTAGCTTCACTAATGTAAAAAATATAAATTGGCTCAAATCCTCTTGCTTAGTGTAGTAACTTGCAACTAGAATAAGCCCAGTGGGTTCAAATCTGTCTTTGAATGACCCTACCAGTAGGAGAGATTTTTGATAATAGACTTATTTCTTCCATCCTGCCCTTTCTGTGGCTTCCAGACAATGAAAGGGATTGCATAGGAGATGGAGAAGCCATGTAACAAAAATAGGAAGTTTTTAATTACTGAAAATCATGTTCTTCCAGTGACATTATCATGTTCCTACCAGAGTAACAGAATTTCAGCCATTGTTTAGAAGGAGGGCATAACTTTTGCTATATTACATGATATGTAGATATATTGAAACCATTTGGGATTCTTTGGAAATATTGTAGGTGAAAAGTACTGAAATTGATACTATGTGCTTAAAATCATGGAAATCTGCGGTTGGTCCTTCATGATTTTGGCAGCAGTCATATATACTACTATATTATGATTTAGAATTATGTAAAGAAATTGACTGGATGAATCCTAAACCGGAATTAAGATTGCCAGAAGAAATATCAACAACCTCAGATATGCAGATGATACCACTCTGATGGCAGAAAGTGAGGAGGAATTAAGTGAAAGAGGAAAGCACCAAAAATGGTCTGAAGCTCAACATAAAAACAAAAACACAAAAAAACCCAAAAAACTAAGATCATGGCCACTGGTCCTATCACCTCCTGGCAAATAGAAGGGGAAGAGATGGAGGCAGTGACAGATTTTACCTTCTTGAGCTCCATGATCATTGCAGATGGTGAGAGCAGCCACAAAATTAAAAGACGCCTGCTTCTTGGGAGGAAAGCAATAACAAACCATGACAGCATCTTAAAAAGCAGAGACATCACATTGCCGACAAAAGTCCGCATAGTCAAAGCTATGGTTTTTCCAGTAGCGATGCATGGAAGTGAGAGCTGGACCATAAAGAAGGCTGACTGCAAAAGAATTGATGCTTTTGAATTGTGGTGCTGGAGGAGACTCTTGAGAGCCCCCTCCCCCGACTGCAAGGAGAACAAACTTATCCATTCAGAAGGAAATCAGCCCTTAGTGCTCACTGGAAGGACAGATCCTGAAGTTAAGGCTCCAGTACTTTGGCCATCTCATGAGGAGAGAAGACTCCCTGGAAAAGACCTGATGTTGGCAAAGTGTGAAGGCAAGAGGAGAAGGGGGCGACAGAGGACAAGATGGTTGGACAGTGTCACGAACGTGAATGTGACCCAACTCTGGGAGGCAGTGGAAGACAGGGGGCCTGGTATGCTCTAGTCCATGGGGTCATGAAGAGTCGGACACGACTTAACAACTAAACAACAACAAAGAAATTAATCAAATCTTGGATTACAACGCGTCCCTCTCCTCCCCATAAAGCTGGGAGGAGAAATATATCATCATTCACTTTCTCAAATCATGGTTTACTATTCTGTACAAACTATGAATTATTATTCAGAATAAGAGAAAGCAGAATTAAGAGGTTAATTCTTTCTCCCAGCTGTGTGGAAAAAGAAGTAAGGAGTTCTAAAGATTACTGAAGCTGTGCATGTTATGTTAAACTATGGTTTAGCGTTATGTGCAAACAAATCCAAATCAATTGCCAAAACATATTAAGTGTATTTCACTAAAAAGTACAAGAGATATTGAGTCAACATCTTCCTATGGAATCCATTAACAATTTTTAATTTAACATGGACGTGTGTATTGTCCAGCTCCTAAGAGGAAATCGTAAGGGTAGGACATGATTGAGATTCTGCATGCAATGGGGTTAATTGTTGATTTAAAAATTATGGATGAATGGGTTTTTGATACTTGGATCATAATGCCATTTTGACTTGGATAATTGCTAGAGTTGTTTATAAAATTCTCACAAGTCTTTTTTACAGCAGTAGTGAAGATTCATAGATAGGAGTGCTGTACTGAAGAGTCATAGACAGTAATTACTTCTCTCTCGTCAACTGTTTTCAAATGACACTCTCAAGTGTACTTTTCTTTTTCTTTCAGTGGTCTGGGGAGAGTGTAATCATTCCTTCCACAATTGCTGCATGTCACTGTGGGTGAAACAGAACAACCGTTGCCCTCTCTGCCAACAGGACTGGGTGGTTCAAAGAATAGGCAAATAAAATCAGTCACTGTTCTTCTGTTGAACTTGTTTGGAAAGTTATACAACAAATGGCATATTTCCCCTATGAAAGAAGGGAGCCATCAGTTTGCAAAATCCCTTGTATTTATTTAGACCTACAGATTTCTATGGACTTGCATTTGAAACCTTAATGTTTACTGCCCTGTCCGATCAGGCTTAAGGATTGTTCCATGAGGAATATGTGTGCACAGTACAGAAGAATATAGCAAAACATTTAGGGTAAGGACCCTAGGTTTACTTTGGAATTTGGGGAGCCGTAGAAGCTAAGAGTTACCTAATATTCAAAGCAGTTCTAGCTTTAAATCTCACTGTTTCTCAAGACTGAAATATTTAGTACAAATAAAAAGCAATTGACAACGTATTGATTTTTTACTTTTTGCTTTTAAAGTTCAGTTGAATATACTGATCTTTAAAAATGTATGCTTGAGTTCTTGAAATATAAAAGTTTTTGACCTCTGAAATGTTCAGGTTGTTCGTTTCTTTAAGATTATATACTTGAAAACTTAGCCACAATATTCCATTGGAAAGATGTGCAGTTGAATTTACCAATCTTTTAATATGTTTTCTTGAGTTCTTCAACTATTAAACCTTTTCATCTCTGAAATTTTCAGGTTTTTTGTTTCTGTGATTGTATATATATTTATAAACATATAAATATATAAATTCTGTAAATATATATATAATTGAAAATGTATCCGTTAAAGGCTACTGGAAACACATACAAGAAGGGAAAAAAATCCAATATCTGCCTAACCTGCTGCTTAATTGCATTTTCACGTACAGGCCATGATCAAGATAACTTTGTGTACAGAGAGAAGATCCTTCCATACACACAGCTTCCCTTTGGACTACATCATCTCCCAGTGTCAGAGGGTTGCCTAACTCTTTAGACTCATTTTTGAGAAGAATAGGAGAGACTGATTTGTATTATAGGATAGAGGATGAGTACCAACCCCCTGCCCAGTGCATCTCACATACAGTCTTTTAGTTTGTAGATGTGCGATTTGAAGATGCTCCTTCCTGCTTTTGAGCTCAGCAGAATCCTTAGAAGTCTCAGCAAAAATCTAAATTAGGAGCTTAAATGAAAGCAGTGTGAATTAACTTCAGATGATACCAGTAGATTCTGAGCTACCATCCCATCAGCCCTGCTCTGAAGTCTCTATATAAGGCTGCTACCAAAAAGTCAAGTACTTTCAAGTTTTACTGCTTTGAGCAGGATATACTTTGTTTAACCTGAATTGGATTGGACCTGTATCATTGAAATATTTTTCAGAAATTGCTGTAGATCCAGTTTCCCCCCTCTGTTGAAATACACTAGGTGTGTGTTTAAAGTCTTAACTGTGGAAGATGGAATGTTTCAATTTCCTTATACTTAATTACTTTCAGAAACCTTTGTTTATACTGTTTAAAAGAGTTGGGAAAATTTGAAAGTTGGGAAAGAAAGGATTTCACTATTACAGTGGACCCTCGACTTACAGACGGCTCGACTTACAGACTTTTCGAGTTACAGACTTCTCTGGCCGCAAAATTTAGATTCAACTTGCAGCTGGAGAATCGACTTACAGACCAGAAAAAAAACCAAAATGGAACAAACTGCCAGTTATGGTATTAATCGGTTTTCAATGCATTGTAGGTCAATGGAGATTCGACCTACAGACTTCGACTTGCAGCCACCGTTCCAATACGGATTAATTCTGTAAGTAGAGGGTCCACTGTACTACAGACAGGGCATGTTGGCTGTAAAACATGTCAGTTTTGGTAATTGGGTACTAAATTTATTCTGTTAGGTAAATTCAAAGAACATGTTTATAGGGCCAGTCTTACTACTAGGTGAGATTCAGTAACTCTCTGGGTAGTCCATATGCTGTGAGAATGGCTAAGAGGCACCCTCATTTCTAATGCCCCCTGTTACATAACATCTCCCCAGAGAAGTGAAAGAGGACATGATAGCAAAAGACAGAAAAGTTGGGGAAGTGATTATGGCAAAGAGATGGGGAAATAAACTTATTTGATCCTGTTGGCTTCTTTGGATTTGTCTCTCTATAAATAAGCCAATATAATCTCCTATGACTAATTTGGTTTCTGTGGTATCTTGCTGTTTGACATATCCTGTTCCATTTTGAAGAAGATACATATCACTCCACTTTTTTGTAGGCACCTCAAGTTATAACTAGGGAGGTGTAATTACTTGGCCCAAAATCTTTTATGCAGTGTGACTAGGAATCCAAGCATTGCAGAAGGGAAATAGCATAACTTGCAGTGGCAAATTGCAGCTAATTACAGTGGTGCCTCGCTTAATTTGTTCCAGCGAAATCACTGTAGAGCGAAAACGTCATAAAGCAAAATAAAAAAGCCCATTGAAATGCATTGAAAACCGTTCAGTGTGTTCCAGTTGGCTGAATAACTCACGGTCCAGCAAAGATCCTCCATGGAGTGGCCATTTTCGGTGCCTGTAAAGCAAGGAATCTGTCCAAAAACACAGCGGGGAGCCATTTTGAGCAGCCGGTGGCCATTTTGAAAACATGATGATCAGCTTTTGATCGTCGTAATGCAAAGAATCAGTTCCCGATTGCAAAAACATCGTCGTGAAGTGGATTCATCATTATACGGGGTAATCATTACGAGGGGCACGACTGTAATGTGCCTCCATTTGGATTCCTCATTGCGCATCAGTTGCATAGCTTATTGTGCAACTAGGAAAACAAGCAGGGAATTGTTAAATTTGTACCAGCTCCCTTCACCTGGCAGGAAGAGTCTGGTCACTTACTGTAAAAACTTCAAATTGCAGGAAAATTTTGTGGATGATGAGCTCAAACCAAGAGTGAGTGCTTGGTGTACATGATATATATATATTGCCCACTACTGTCAAGACTGATCAAGTTACATGTTTAAACTATTGCCTACTCTGTAACTGAGCATAAATCCAAAATGTCAGTCCTCATCCATCTGGAGTTATATTCAGATCTGTTGTTTCATAACTAAACATTCCGCCACTTCAGACGAAAGACCTTGAAAGTTGCTTCCATTCACTGTATATGACTGAAGGACAAAGCCTTCCTATTGTTAGGAAACTGGATCACATGAAACTGGATCACAAACACATAACGTGGTACATGACTTTAGAGGTGACAGAATTCACTGATTAGTGCCAAATGTTTACCACACTCTGTAATTTGAGGCTGATTGAAATTGCTTGCATAAAGTTTAGTGAATCAGTTCTTTGTCAAAAAGTATAATACAAATCTCTCTCTGTTGGAGGTGCCGTTTGAACAGTGCTCAGTCTGTATAAATTTTAGTAGTATTGTTTTCTTTCATCCTGAAATCCACTTTCATTATATATTGGTAATTTTGCCCTGAACTCTTTTATTTATTGACATTTGGACACAGATCTTTATGTAAGAAGTGGGGACATTGGCTTTCCACCTGTTGGAGTATAATTCATTGGAGTATATTTAGATCAGACTTCAGCCAGCAGTGAATCATGATGGAAGCTAAATGATGATGGAAGTTCAGCCTCTGGAGAGCTTCACCTTTCTTTTCCTGAAAGAAGGTTGTGGTCATGTGATGAATATGTTTAAAGCTGAAGCCTCACCACTCTGTTGATGTTAGGAATTTTTAAAAATTATTTTACTGAAATATTTATATCCAATTCTGTATCTAAAAGATCTTAGGATAGGATGCACACAGTGAAGCAACGTCTATTAAAAGCTGTTCAAGAAAATAAAATATTAAAAAAGTATATTCAGTAAATCAAGGATTCTACACCCTAGTCAAGCCATGATCACTGGGCTCAAAAAGTGTTGGTGAAGATCCAGACTTTAGCTTGATGAAGAAATGAGATATAAACTGTGCTGCAGTAGTCTGAATAGCAACTTAACCAGTGCATAAACTTACTGGAGAACCAGTGTGGTACAATGGGATAGGGTTGGACTAGAACTCAGGAGACCCAACTTCAAATCCTTGCTTGGCCATATGAATTCATTCCTGGGTGACATTGGTATAAGCACTCCTTAATATCCTACATAGCTTGAAAAATCTTACTAAGGTTGCTATACATTGGGTGTCACTTGATGGCAAATAACCAAGATTTTCGCTAAACTGGGTGCACGCTTCTCTGCCTCCCTGTGTACAGCTGTCTTCCTCCTCTGTGCAGCAATTAGGTTCCAGTCGCAATGGAACCCAGTGTCCATGGGGTGGAGTTGCATGTGCATGCAGGGGTGAAGTTGAGAAAGAGAGAGGCAGAAATTAGGGGATACGTATATTGCACATAACAGCAACAAGTGAACTATTGTGTCTGGGTTATTCCTGACCAAGAAAAGCCTACAACTGTTGAGCCACCTGATCCTGTTCTTAGGCACTCAAAGTCACAAAGTTCACCTGGGCTTCCAATGAGACAAGATTTAAGAAATATTTCTGAATTTTGATGCCAACTGTTGGCTCTTTCAAATGACTGAAAGAAATGAGAAGCTGGGTAAATGGGAGCCAATTTTGTCTTCCTTTCTGGAGTGTTTGGGACTGAAGATTGGCTTTGGTACCCATTTGCTAAACTTTCGATGACATGTTTGGGTTGGTAATTTTATTTTTGTTTTGGCATAACTTTTTACTGTTTCCTGCAAATCCAAAATTTTCTGCACTGATCTGGAAAGAAGGTATGTCAACAAAATCATTTTAAATTAGCTTGAACAAAGAGAAAAATTAAGCATATTTACTCTTCCAACTGATCTTACTTCACTCACGTGAAATAAACCTGTTACTTTTGAAGAGATAGCTGTATTAGATAAAAACAAAAGAATAGACAACAAAAATGTTGTGGCACCTGAAAGTCAGTGTGGGCATCGCAGAGGACTCGCTGCTTTTGTCAGCTCTTTTCCAAAGGAAGGACGGGGAGACAGGAAAGGGGTGTTGCTGCTGTTTCCAACATAGTTTGGCCATGAGTCTTTGCCTTGGTAACTCTTCAAGTTAATTAATAGATTGAACTGTTTGGCCCCTTTCGTTGCCTTTACGAATCTGATGCCTAGACCTCAAGGTTTCATTAGGAGGAACTCTGTCACAGCACTCCCAGCCCTATTATTATGAAGGTAATGACTACTCCCAGCAAAGAACCAGAGGATATTCTGGATTTTACGTTAATGATCCCTATGCTGCACTCTATTCAAAATGAACTGCTCACATGCATTGTTCCATTTTCTGAACTTAAAGAATCAGGAGCTGGCATTTTGTCAAGGTCCTTGTGTCAGGAGCTGTTCAGAACGCCTGACAAGGGTGGTTTATCCCCTTTCCCTCCCCCCCATAACAATCCAGATGGGATCATTAGGGCGGTTGAGAAGGTGGGAGGTGAGACAACAAAGAAACACTGGAAACAAATTAAGGTTACCAACTTTGTTAATATCAGGGACTACCTTGGAAAGTCAAGTAGCCACATAATTGACTTGCCAGACAGTGTTGCTGATAATTCTCAGATGCTGGACACCATGTGCCTATCTAGTAAACTGGATGTGGATTTGGGTTGTATGAGATGTTCTCAGATGCTGGACTTATCAGATGCTTTCCTAGGTGAAAGAGCCCTGTCAGATGCATCAAAGAGCCCAAGGAATACTGGAAAGGATTACGCACTGGTAGAAGCCACTGAGGCGGTGAAAGCCCAGAACACTCCAGATCAGCCCATCCCAGAGAGAGGATTATACAGTACCTCCACAAGAGATAATCCCTATGCTCATAACCAGACCCAATTATCAGAAATCAGGGATTTCTTATTTGACATCAAAAGAACTTATGATAGTCATAACAGGCTACCAGACGAAAACACATCAGCTTCCTGTAGCGGAAAGTGAACTCCTGCAGAGGCAGAGAAAGGACAACACACAAGAGCCTGACATGGACTACCACAATCTGTCACTGAGCACGGTAAACAGAGTTGCTGGTCTGTCCCTGGAGGAGTTACTGCTTTGTGTGGATCCTAAGAATGTAGAGCATCAAGGTCCTAACTCCTTAAAAACCTTTACAGCAGGTACAGAGGACAATTACCGGACTTCGTTGGATGACAAGACCAATAATAGAAGGAAGCGGAATACTAACAAAAGCTCCCCTCAATGTGTCCCTAAGCCAAAAAGGAAACAAATAAATAAGGATATAATAAAAGGTAAAGGTTCACCTTGACACATTTAGTCCATTTAGTACATTTTAGGATGTAGTGACACGCAAAGTGTTGGTGCCAGGCCTTGACACATCTTATGCATACTCAAATGGCCCTGTTGTCAGTAGAGCAGTGCCTCCTCAAATGAAAAGACGCTATCAACCAATATCAAATACTGGCCCCAAAATGTTAGCAAAGAACCGTCAACAAAGGAATGATGATGCGCCTGTTGGAAATCCAATACCTGTTATAATTGGCAACAGGGTCTGGGAGGCGGAAAATAAGTAGAAATGAAACATTGGAGGTGGGTTGAGAACTCGTATGAGGATCATGGTTCCCCACAGCCCTGTTGGAGGACCCAGTTATGTGATAGGCATCCCCAAGGGC